CTTGTTATAATTACCATTATGTCAGAACGGGTTAACGAAAATATATAAAATTAACTGTGCCACGCCGTGAACGAAGTCGCGTTCGCGTAAAATAGTTAATTTAGGCAACCAAATTTGTTTTTGCAGACCTCCTCATCATATTTATAAATTTAAGGTTTTACGTTGTCGCATTTCCTCGTTCTTGAAATTGACTCTTAAAAGATTGAGAAATATTGTCGCGGACATTTTTTTTAGATCATTTAAAGAGGAACGAAAGAATGTTTCGCATATTCTTTCATACCTACATATTTTTTGGGTATCTTGATCCGTTTTCAGAAACCTTCCGAGATGAATATTTTTCCCCAGTCGCAGCATGATGTTCTATAGCCTAAAGCCTTCCTCGATAAATGTTTAACTATTAGCCAACACAAAAATAATTTTTCAATTCGAACGTGTAGTACGTGAGGCTAGCGCGTTGAAACAAACAAACTCTTCAACTTTATATATTAGTATAGATAACATAGAGATAATACGTATGTATCTTTAGTCTATATCTAATCATAATTTAACTTACGTACATAGCCGGCTATATCCGCTTGGTCGCATGTCGCACGATCGAGCCATTGAATTTCCTTCCTAGTAGACTGAGTGCTACTTCAAACCTTATACATATTGATTTTTAAGAATAGATCAGTAATACTCTTGCGTGCATTTTAATAAGTATCGGGGGTTAGTTATAGTTTATATTCTTAACAAACATCTTCCCGTTGAATATACATAGGTAATTTTATTAACTGCGTAAAATTCCTCCCATATTGTATTTTATTGTTATTGTTCGCTACTTTACTCATTTTATAATGCACCTTTCAAGCGATATAACTTCAGCTTTAACATTTACGTATTGCCGTTACGTTACGTTTTATGCATATAATAATGCTATCATCTATACTCTATACTAATATATAAAGCTGAAGAGTATGTTAAATACTGTCTATAGTTTACGCGTGTAGTACACATTTAAATAAAACACTTTAACGGTTTAAAACGCGATATATTAGTTAAACTTATTTTAAGACGTTTCGGATGCTTTGCAGAAACGTCGAGCCGAAGTTAAAAATAATTTTCAAATAATTTTAACTAATATATCGCGTTTTAAACCGTTGAATTGTTTTATTTAAATGAAGAGTATGTTTGTTTGTTGGAACGCGCTAATCTCAGGAACTACCGTTTCGAAAAGAAAAATGATTTTTGTGTTGGTTAGAACATTTAACTAACTAATAGAAGCGAAGAAATGTGGAAAAAAACGGGGAAAATCGTTCACCCTTGTTGAATTATAAATCAACAATGTCATAGAAGGAAGAAAATTAAAATCGAAACAATATGAAAATGCAACATTTAATGACGTCATAAATAATAATGGTATGTACATTGCTAAAATATTAGCAGTAGATGACATCACGACGCTACCTTCAAAGCAAACATATTAACAATAATTAAAGTTTGTTTATGATTATCCAAATATTGTGTTTGCTCTCATGTTGAAGAGGATGTTCGGTTGTTTTTATGTGACGTTACCGAGGAGCAAATAGTAATAGTTTTTTCATATATGGGCCTTGGGGATAGCTGAAGATTTTCCACTCGTTAGAAATTAGTAAATATTGGTTATTTGGAGTTCAAATTATCTACTAGTCACTTTCTTTTCACCTTCAGTCAGAAGAATTAGTAATGTAGATTTATAAGTAAAGCAGTAGCACAAATTGTGTGGTCGTGTTTCTAGTCTCGCCTGTGTCGTCATTTCAATCTCAAATAGGTTCTGACACGATAAAGTAATAATGCTTCAATACAACTATATTTTTAATTATTATAATAAAATTAATAAGCTACCTAATAAGTAGCTATATCTTATTCAAAGTTCCTACTTTCTACAGAATTGAAATTGGATTCGGCACCTTTTTATATCGAGTGCTGTCGTTCTTGCAAGTTAATCTTAAAAGATAGAGATACTGTGGTGGACGTTATTTTAGACCATTTAAATAATCATTGTTTCATACTTAGTATTGGGATATCTTGAATTTGCAGCATATGCAACGGAAACCCACAAATTTTGATTTAATTTCCCCCGTCTTCCGCTGTTTCTCCTATTAGTCACAGCGCGATGTTTTATAGGCAACTGACACAAAAATAATTTTTCAATTCTCACTATTTAGTAGTTCCCGAGATTAGCGCGTTTAAACGAAGAAACGTTATATGTATATTAGTATAGATTATTTTACGTTATACTTTTTAACATTGAACGAAATTAAAATGAATCCACGTACTAAGCTCTAGTGCTGTATCAAAGAATGAAAAGATCTTTTAGTACATGAAGTTTTTGTAGTATTAAAAAATCACTCTCAATTCTTAATTACTTAATTCACATCACAGTTGTTAGTGTAATGAGCTAATTAAAGTACTCAATCAAACAGTCGCATAAAATGCCCCCACTGTTGATAACAAACAGCGAATTACTGTTGCGTTCACCTTGTTCCGTAGTTCCGCTAATTAGTGTGGCTTGATCACGTGGTATTCAGGTCATCTTGGCCGGTGTACTGTTAAATACTTATTTCAGCCGAATTATCATCTTTGTCACCGTCATCTAACCTAATTAATATGAGGCAGAGTGGCTTAATAACAAAAACATAATTTTCAAAGAGGAAAATAAAAATGCGCAATTAACTTAGGCGAAAATGAATTTGTACTATCATTTGTGGAAAACTTATGTTATCAATTTTCGGTCACTGTGCTTTTGTAGATTAACATTTATAGACTATGAAGATATACTTAAATTACTCAAGTGATAAAATTGCAGTTAGGCTACTCTGCCTCAAGAGGCCTTATAATGCACTCGAATATAGCAAAACGTCGGGTCACTAACTAATATATTTCGAGTATTAATCCGCTAAAAGTGATTTATTTTCAACCTTGAGTTTCGTTATTCGTTCATTTGTGGTAAAACGGTGTTATCCGTATCTTAACGGTGTTTAAATTAATGGCTAAGAATTTTAAAGTAAACTGCATATAAAAATTACTTATGAGTAAACTTATCAAATGTTTTAATTAAACCTGGAAGCCCTTCATGGTAGATGAAATACCCCAGCTATATATATATATATATACATATATAAGCAAGATGCGTAGTCGACCTATTTTGGCTTTGCATATCTTATGGATTAAAAAAAAACAATAAGGAAACTATTGTAGCTGTACTCGATGTTAAAACATTTTCTTGAAAGCATAAAATGTTAAAACACTTAGAATATCGACTTCCGTCTGAAACTTGTATTGTCACATTAATTATTCAAATGACACTTGCATGTTCGTTAGCTGCAGCCATGTTACCATAATTCTACCATTAGCTTATTCAATTCTAGTTTATCCATGCATGTCGCAATGGCAAATATAAGGTAAATAGAAAAAGTAACGACGAAAGAATATAAAATAAAACATATCGATCATTTAAATAAAACACTTTAACGGTTTAAAACGCGATATATTAGTTAAACTTATTTGAAAATATTTTTAATTCGGCCCAACGTTTCGGATGCTTTCAGCAGCCGTGGTCACGGGGAGACATCGATCATTATTGATGTATATGATTGCCTTAGTCATCTCTCACTGTTGGAACAACATTACAAAGCTGAAGAGTTTTGTTTGTTTGAACGCACTAATCTCAGGAACTACTGGATGGAATTGAAAAATTATTGTATTGTAATAAATCATTTATCGATATATATAGGCTATAAAAATATAAAATCCGCTGCGACCAATATTAGCGAAATAACTGTGGAAAATCGTGAAACCACGGGGAAAAGTATTCATCGTTGAGGGCTTCTGTTGCGTGAAATGTTTCATCAAAAAATATGTATGAAAGAGTGATCCAGTCTTTAAATGATTTAAAAAAATATCCCCGACAGTATATTTGAAGTTCAATTCGCAAAAACCGTATTACATGGTACTTAAGCAAGTTTGGTCGAAGTTAATACATAATATACGCGGACGAAGTCGCGGCCACAGCTAGTGTAAAGTTTATGTCACACTGGTCACTAAGATGGAAAATGGTTCCAAACTAATTATATTCAGTTATGAATAGGTGTCCTTGAATTCTTGAGTGTAAATTATCTCTTGAAGTGCTGGATATCGGCTTAATGCAATTTCACAGTGTTGTTTACGAGCTTGATACTAACCAGCTGTGCGATATGATTTAAGATTTTAAAATAATTATATAGAAGTTGTATGACTCCTTTAATACGCACTTGATTAACTGCACGTTGCCTCAACGGATAGGTATATAGTACAAATAATAAAGATGCTAATTTTAAACCTAAATAAGCCTTTTAGATAACTTATTTGATTGAAATGTTTGCTCAATTTAAAAATTATATTAAAGCAATGATAAACTTCATAATCGAAAGCAATTCATTTATTTCACATATGGAAAGCTTACTAGAATGGGTGGTCGACCAATTAGATATCAGAAAGTCAATTACAAATTTCCTCTTTTCGATCCAGACATATAAAAAAATTAAATGTATAATATTTTATATAAACATATTTTTAATTATCATCAAAAACATCCAACCCTCAATAATTACCGTGCCTTGAAAAGCACATCAACGGTACGTCGATAAAGTTTGCCAACCCACACTGGTGCAGCAGTTTTGTGGATCTACGCTCTGTTTCCACTATCCTGTATTTCTCATACACCTGAGACATGTGCACAGTTGTAGAACTTAAGTGAAGCAAAAACTCTTTCATTTTATGTACAATTTATTTTAACTAAGGTCTGACGTTTCGGATGCTTTGCAGCACTCGTGATCACATTTTCCGATATTTTTTATGTGCACTACTCGCGTAAAATACGTTTTGCAATTATATAAAGTACCAATAATTGTAATAACATATTCGTCATTCAACTTTTTTATGCATTTCGTGTTTGTTTCAGGCGCATTCGACATCACGGCACGCTCGTAACGCTGCCCAAAATGTTGCGGCCGGAATCGCCGCTCGCTGACCATCGCAGCCTGCTGCCGCGCCGACTGCTCCCGGTCAAGGCTCAAATAGCACCCGCAGACAAGAAGAAGAACCGAAGATCTCTCGAACTCAACCCCCCATCCGAGCACGCGACCTACGACTATCCCAAACTCCTAATATCCAAAACAACCGATTCCCTCAATACAGAATGCCCCCGTAAGCACTTGAACAAACAAGACTCCACCGACAGTTTGAAGAGATCGCTTCTCTCCAAAGATGACAAAAAGAAAGATGACAAGAGGATCACGAAGCAGGACTCCAGTGAAAGTCTTAAAAAGGCACTGCTGTGCAAGCAAGACTCAAACGATAGTCAAAAGCGGGTGGAAGTAGATGTGAAATGGCCTCAGAAAGAGGAAAAGAGGGAGGTGAAGAGGGGTAGTGATAAGAAGGGATTACTGGAGACTGATATAGATGATACTTACAAGAGGATTTACGAGAGGCGGGCTGGTTGTACGAGGCCGAGCCTGCCGCCCGTTGATGAGAAGGGACTGACTCCTAAATCTCCCAGCGGGACTCCCATCACGCCTGGCGTGGCGGCTGTGGCTGAGGGCGTTGTTCGGTGGGGCAGTGGACTGCTATCGCCGAAAGAGGAACCACGGTTACGGCCAGCTAAAAGCTGGTACGGCTATGGGACACTACCTTCAGATAGCAACGAAAAGGTACCTTAGATTTTTATCCATCCATTTTAACTCGACTGTTTCATTAATGGGTTTGTGTTACTTTAAAATGTATCTACTTAATAGAATTTCAGACAAAAATAAAACATAGTTATTGTATCTTAAAAGTTTGATGCGAGTTGAAGATTCCTTTAGCGATAAAGTAGATTGAATAGCGATTACATTTGACTTAGATTTAATAAAAAAAAAACTACTTCTTGTAATATGATGCATTCATTTACTTATATTTTTCTTCGCTTGTTTTTCCTGTTACATTAAACAGCCGGCAAGCCACGACGCTAAAATTCAATGCGTGTTAGTCATCTGCTAAAAATATCAGGTTTATTTGTGACTTTTCTCTGTGTTGTTTCATAATTATATTATGTATTTTTTATTATTCGGCCCTGATAATTGTTTATGAAGCGCACTTTTAATGATTGTGGACTCGTCGCATTGGGCATTGAAAGAGACGAAAATATGTTCACTAAGATTTCTCTGATAGCAGGCTCAAGCCCAGCGTTTGTGTTTTTTTTTTCATTCCATAGATTATTTAACTATGATATTTAACTTTCTCGTAAAAGATTTAACACACTTATTACAGAATCTTTTATGTCATGCAATAGTATTTTAAACAACAATCCGCACTCAAGATTCCGAGTGGGTTTAGCCGAAATTAGACTGTCCCTATTGCAAACATTACACAAAACCCATTTACTACTGTTAGGCCCGCAATACATGTTTATATTATGATGAAATTTGAAAATAATATTGTAATATAAATGGCAATGTTTTGAGTTTTTTTTTGGTTCTTCAAATATGTAGTAACAATTGGTACATGTTTGAAATAAGATTTAGCTATCGTATGTAGAACGAGTATTCAAGAATTTAAGAACGCTATAATTCTCGTGTTAAGGAAGCCTTATCACCAGATATTTGTGAACGATAAAACATTCTGTATTCACTGCTCGGTCCTCAACCGAAGCGCTTGTCGAAATAACTAAGGGGTCATCCATAAAGTACGTCACACGAATTTCATGATTTTTTGAAACCCCCCCCCCCCAAAAGTAGAAATAGTAGCGACACACCAATAGCTACTACTTGATATAACTTACCTATATTTTCGATTATAATGTTGACTTGTATGTGACCATGTACAAAGACTCTTACGTGTTTCTATCACACTTACCTACTTTTTCAAGTTGGAAAAGGTACGAAAACAAAAGTGTTCCGAACACGTTATTGTTAGCAGTGACGTAGGTTTTTGTTCTTTGTCATTTTCGTTTTCTTGTAAAACTGGAACAATGCGATATGAATGTACCAAACGAAGGGGGTCACCTGCATGTCAATGTAGGGTTGGCACATTTGAGAATTCACATTAAAATAGTATTTCATATTTTAATATTACAGTTTTAATTTGTTTTTATATGGTCAATGAAAATAATTATAACCAGTAAAGTAAAGTAATATAATAATAATACAGTCACGAATTCACGATGCGAACTTCAAAATTACGATGTGTAAACTATAAACAAACACTGATTCGAGATGATATAAAAAGTGTGAGAATTTTTAAACAAACACGACTATAGTCTTTGTCTGAATTATCCTAATGTTTTTATTATTATTTTGACAACCCTGCTAACCAATCGTTTACGCACCGTTATGAACTGTAGAGGATAACCTCATTTGCTTGGCTTTCAAGGAAATATGAGTAAAAATGAAATAAATCACGTTAATAAATAACTAATTCTGAGCAGTTTATTTTTAAATAACAGTAACTACTGAAGAAATGTAAATAAAAGAAGGAAATATTGCCATATTATTAGAAGGATATATTTATTTCTAAAATGCAATGAGGAATACATACATATTTGACTTTTGAACGGTGGTTAAGTGTATATAGGTAGGATAAATGTTAAAAGGAACCGTCTTAGACGGACAATCTTAATTTCTCAATGTAATCTTTGGGTATATAAGTGCCCACAATTATATTTGTAAAAAGACATCCTAGTTTAATAACTCATACCTACTAAACTACTTACCAAAAAATAATGAACTATGAAGACTGATGATATTGTGGTGTCCGTACTGTATTGATGTTAGTTTTTATGCTAGAGGAGGATAGACATCATTTACTTAACGAAAGGTGTAATACAGATGAAAATCGAAACGCGACTAAAATTTACGGGTTTTTACATTGCACGGCGGTACGCGAACCTGACGGAAATTCGATTTAATATCCAGATGTAAAGACGAAGTCCAACATGTGTAAGAAAAATTATAAACTAACTTAAAAACATTTTGGACACGATGGGGATCCAACCCACGACCCGATTATTAACCGTTTATATTGCTACCGTATACAAACGAGCACGCCTTTAATATTCAACTTCGGAAGTCGAACGTTTCTTATCAAGGAAGCGCTCGAAGACATTGTATGCGGTTTCTGTTTTTAAATCGCGTGCGCCCGCGCCGCGCGGTCGTCTACTGCGCACTGTAATTAACTAATTACGCGCGAGCGATATTAGTTTTGAATTAAGTTATTTATCTTCTAATTACTGTGGTGTAAAGTGCTCAGTGTTTATATTGCCAATTCAATAACAAACACGAGTTCGTTTGACAGTGATAGTTGACGCTTCTGTGATAATGCCTAGTGACGTTAAACGGTCGAGGGTATGCTAAACGGAATATTTTCATCTTAATAATAGTTAAGGTCGATGATAAATACAAGGCGCCCTTGGCTGAGGTTGTCTAGCCCGCGATATTAGATACTAATATAATATTGATATACTTATAACAAATAACACTGTCGCTGAACTGTATATATATCTAAATAATCATAGTGCATACAATAAAACTATAGCTTGGATGCTTTTATATAAAATTAAAATTCAGTTAGCAAAAGTTCCTGGTTTTGATACCCATCTGTATCACCATGTTTTAAAGCCTTACAACTTCTTAGAAACATGTTAGATTTCAAGGAAAATCTGGACGTTATTAGGGTCATATGAACATCGAAATACTATCCAGGTCAAGAACCAGTTATCTGCGTTTCGGTCAACTGTGGACTTACTAATGTCCAAAGCCAAAATACGTCAACAGCTCATCTTGTTTAGACGTTATGTGGCTGGGCTATTTCCTGAATTGCTATGGTCCAACTGTTCACAACGAGCACATCTCGGAAATAGCACGTAAAGCCGATTTAATATAATTCTATATATAAATATAGTACTATAGGTAGAGGGAATCTTTTCCTGTTATAGAGTTTAAAAATTATTAAATACTAGCTGTGTCAGCGACTTCGTCCGCGTAGAGTAGTTATTTTGGGCATCCAAACGCGTTTTTGCAAACCCCTTCATCTTTATAAAACTAAGCTACCCACCACGGCGGTTGCGTTCCTTCCCGTCTTTCTTGCAATTTAACCTTAAAAGATAGATACATAGCGTCGTGGACTTTTTTTTAGATCATTTAAAGGGAAATCATTCTTCCATACATATTTTTTGGGTATCTTGAACCGTTTTTGCAGCGTACGTCTCGGAAACCCATAATGATGAATCATTTCCCCAAATTTCTTCACATTTCTCGCTGTATCTTCGCTTGTATTCGATCCCGTAGTTCCTGAGATTAGCGCGACAAACAAACAAACTCAGCTTTATATATTAGTATAGATCCTATAATTATATGATGTAGTGATCGTATATTTAAATGCTTGTGACGAATTATTTTAAATGTATCGTTTTAAAGTGATTTCTTAACAAAACGAATTATAATTATTATGGATACATAAATGATTATGATGTTTGAACTTAAAGCAATTTTATTGATACCGCGATAACAGTGACGTCATAGATAAAAAATATTGCTTTGCGTTTTGTAATAATAACTCGATTACTATGAATAATTTTAGCACAAGTAGAATGGTTTTAAGAGAGTATTTATTTAAATTGATTGACATTGATGACATTAATCTTAATTGTTTTTGCTTAACATTAAGTTATGTTAACATCTGTTTAGTCTTGTAAAACCGTTAAGTGTATAGGGTATGGGTCTGAGAATAGGTACGACCTCTTGACAGAGCGGAGGTTTTATTCTCAGTCGTACAACATTTAATTATGTATATTTTGTACTGTCACCGGTGATCGAAAACATCCTGCGAATCGTATGAAAACGAAGATCGAAAAAAAAATGTTTTGCTAATTAATGGTTCGATCCCCCCCCATCATTTATTTAATTAACTTTACGCAACACTTTGGACTTCGTCTGGAAATATGGATATTAGTGGGTTGGTAGGAATATCGAAATTTGACCTGAATAAAATGACCGTGAAATCAATCGTGTTTCGATTTCAGTGTGTTGATTTCAGAATATCCAAAGCTAAATTAGGTTGCCGCATCTTGTATAGATATTTTGTGGCTGGGATATTTCACCACATCAGATCATTCCATCACGTGAACTTGTCTGTCTTTCTCTATCATAAGAATAGGGAGAATCGACCTATAACCAAATTTTAATACATGTTTTAAAAAAGATGGAGGCTCTCTCGTGAAATCCTAGATGCGGGCTGGTGAGACTATTGAAAAATTCTGCTGTAAAGTAATAATCTAGGTGGTTTGCGGCTGTATACGTCCTTTGCTGGATATTGACGTCATAAACAAAGTAACAAAAAGTACGACAATCATTCACAAGAGGGCATTATCCCATTCACACAGCCATTCTTTGAAATGTTCATAAATCAATGGTTTAAGGTGTTGTCTAGCATTGTTTAGGGTTATACGTTTTGGTTAGACAGGCAAAGAAGTCAGATCGGCTGCTCGTCTGTAAATAAGTACGATCAATGCATCTGCATCACAAAAATAAGTTGGCCCTATTGGAAAGGGATTAAAATAAAACACGTTTAATGGCTTTAAACGCGACATATATTAATTGAATGTATACGGTAAACTATAGACAGTTTTAATTAACAATTTTTTTTAACTACCCGATGGTTCGGATTCTTGTAGCAG